ATTTTCTGAATTTCATAAATAAGGTTTTATTTATTTATTTTGCGCACTATTTACAGACATAAAGGTCCAGATCAAATTGTGGAGTATATGATCATATGGATACGTTCATGGAGGACATGATCATAGGTTCTCACAATTGATGAATGAAGTCACAGCCGTTAAATAAAGTTGGGCACTTTATTCAGGCTGCAATATTTTATGAAATGATTTTGTCCGAATCATTGTAAAATATTGGTGTGAATTAACATTCACATTGAAAGGATCAAGGAGAGATTTGATTAAGGTTGTTTTTCTGTCATAAGGTATCAAATCTCCAGTTAACTATAGTTATGTGATTGCTCTTAATCCTGAGTTTATTATAAATAGGTAATCAAATAGTTTTCATTCTTTGATTTACCAACGGGTGAGGTTCGATCTATTGACGGCCAATAACTCGGTATTTTGGGAGTGAGATTATTTGATTATCGGTATTTATGAGATAAACAACATGGAATTTGTAGGATATGTCCCCTTGATATGTTTCGGTACTTGGATATTAAAGACACTGGCCAGTGCATGTAATCCATCAGAGAAACTATCATAGTCAAGGGAATAAATAATTGATTGAGTTACAGAAAACTTGTCAATCAATTATAGACATTCTACAAAGGGGCGATGCATATTCATGTTATAAGTGTTGTTAATCTTGGAGTTCAAGTTCGGGCTTTTAGTGGAGTAGCACCGAATTAGATAATCATTCGTTGATTATCAGGAGCCTTGTTTAATAACAGATGGTAGATCCCCAAGCTAGCTTGAGACAAGGGATGGGGTATTTTTCGGATAGATGATGACTTATGGGTTAGATGATCTTGGGTTTTACGACTCAAGTTTGTATCCAAAAGAGCAAGTGGGAGATTGTTGAGTTTGCTCTTTTACTAAAGCCCAAATGGGTTATTAGTATGAGAAGAGCCCAAGGAACCTAGAGCCCAATGAGCTAGGGTTTCTTGGAACCCATATAAATTGTACCTCTTAAGTCATCAGCCTTTAAGGTCTCTTTTGTGAGAAAGAGGTAAGCTCAGAATCTAATCAGTGCCCACACACTTCCCCTTCCTCCTCGAGATATAGTTTGGAAGATCTGCCACAGTCCTCCTTCAAGGAGGTTGTTCGTGCTGCGGAGCTGAGGTGAGCTGTTCGTGAAGAAGAATCCTACAAGGGAAGATTCTACACGAGACCTGCGCACCGAGAGGTAATTGTGAAACAAGGATGATTCGGTAAGCATACCAATGTACTAGGTCCTAAACCGCTTCCGCATAAATCTAAGATTTCCTACAAATTTTTCCCATGATTCACATAGTGAGACAAATCATTGATGGCGAGAAAAAAAAAATGAAAAATATATTAACAATAATGAAAGATATGTAAATTCCATGAAAAAAATTGTATATAAACAACATTACTCTTACATGAATGTTTTTCAATGTGAAGTATGTGGAGATATAATGGAATTATTAATCCGAACTAAATGTTCTACCAATTAACAACACCCTCTCACCTGCTATAACGATACGTGAATTCATATTGGTACACCCTCACTTTTGGTCCACCGGAGCACATGAAAAAACCACCATCAACAATCATAGCCATAATCGAAAAATATTGTGCAGCAAAATCACAATCTGATTAGAATAAAATTAAAAGGCTCAATTCAAAAGTCACAACCTATTATATTTTTTATTGGGATACAAGTTGGAATTAAACATATAATCTAATACAACATATATCTAAATCTCTCGTTACTAAACCAATTCTAGTGGCTTGTCACTTGTCACAACATATATCTTATTATGATGATAATGGAAAAATTCTTATATGCTTTTGGAATAAGGAAAATACTCTGTTCATACTATTAAATCTCTATTATTTAAGTTATGTAAATTATTATTGTTCTTTACATTAATTTTTTTTAATGCTACAATTAAAGTAGTACAACTTTAATAATACAGAATAGATATTTTTAATATTTTAAGCATATAAAGATCTCTCATAATAATGAAAGTCTAACACGAGCCTAACCTAATCATGCTTTTTCTTGAGCTCATATTTCATCACTCTTTCTTTTCATAAACAAAATTCGTAAATAACATTAATATAATGTTATGTTTTCTTTTTCTGAATATGAGTGATTTAGTTCTTCGGAAATGATAGTTACATATACAATGCAAGTCGCACAAAGACAAGTCACATAAATTATACAAATAAAGAAGGATTATTGATGTTGAATTAAAAAAAAGGAAAAGAGAAAGAAAGAAATAAAAATAAATAAATAAATGGGTTTTATTAATATCATGTTAAAGGAGATAAATTATCTCATGTTATATAGATAAATTTGTGGGCTCCACTACCTGAAAAAAATAAAAAAAAATAAAAAGAAAAATGTGACACAATTATCGAAAGGATGTGTAGGAAGGAAAACTTATCTCATGTAACATGAGAATACTTTTCTCCTAAATAAATTAAAGCGATGAGAATCATGTAATTAATTTATGTTAAAAGAAAGAATATTGCGTAACTAACTTTGAAATTTAGTTCTTATTTTAGGTCATATTGCCCTTGTCGCTTAGTGTACGGAATGTACTTACCAAACTGAGTACTCAACCTCTGGATTGGTCTTATGTGGTGGTTGACAAAACTCAAGAGACAAGTTCAATGACAGCGAGGGAATACCAGGTGATGTTTGAAGCTGATAGATAATGCATTCATTGTTGGGTGGGTTAAAACACTAACACACTATGCAAGGATCTGCATCCTTGTCTTTAATTAGATAATGCAATGAGCCTAGTGTCCTCATAATGGACAAAAGCAATTGATCTTTTCTTTTTCAGTAATAGACAGCTCTTGTAAAACTCCAGATTTGTTTATGGATAATCACGGGCTTAAACAAGATATTGTTGCACATGAGGACAAATTCAGCTCAAATGTTCCTAATTTATTTTTAATGTTTCTCTGCCATTATCTTCTAACATTGAAAACACTATCGTTTTGGGATTTGGGGAAAAAAAATAAGAATATATTTAGGAAAATTATATCATGTGAGAACAATAAAATTTTCAAAATATTACGTATTTTAATTGTCAACCCTAAAAAGAGTTGTTTTAGAATTGTAGGAGAAACATATTTTTCATGATAAAGGACATGCTTATGCTTTTTGTATTCTAGTTTTTATCTTTTAATTGATTTAGTTTGATTCATCAATTAATTTTAATTACATATAATAGTGTCTTCATAACCATTTTTATAATATAATTTGTTATGTCAAAAGTTAGGTGTTTATGTTGGATTTTCTTTTTTATTTAATCTAAGATGCTTTCATTTGACACGTCAGTATTTAATAAATTAAGTGATTAGAATAATTTTCATCACAAGACAACGTCAAATGCAAATAATTCATCATAAGTTCAAATTGAATAATTTTACTTTCTAGTACGTGCACTCGAGTATGGTCGTTCGAGTTTAAGGGATTTTAAAGTCTAGATCAATTAATTTAGGGCATGTTGCGTTTGTTGACTTTGTGACATTTTTTGGAGTGACCTGAAACTAATCAACTTGGTTTGGAATGAGTTGGTTCGGGTTGAATAATCAGATTGTACTTTTTTTTCCCCCTTAATAGCTTGCTGCATTAAAAATGTTTACAAAATGTGAAAAAAAAATTGAAGGTGAAAGATCTTGCTCATTGATCTTATAGCACTCAATTCTTAGACTACAGCTAAAGGTTCAAGTAGAAAAATCAAAATGGTCAGCACAAAATCATGTAAATCCGTAAATCCAAAGTTTTGAAACAATTCCAAAATTCATTAATTATATGTTGTAATATTTATATTGATATACGTATGAGACTTAATATAATCACATTATTTAATTTTTTATAGAAATATTTTGAATTTAATTGACCATTGAATGTAACAAATTAGTATGAAAATATTGCATAATAAATTTCAAGAAATGCAAGCAAGACTAAGTGGACTAATAAATTGTTGAACGTGAACCTGTTGCTCAGTACTGATGCAAGCGTCGTGGGCCTAGTAAGAGAGACCAATATAGATTCTGGAATTGGGTTGTCGTTCTTGGACGGTCTAAGGCCTTCAAGGCTTCAACCCAAGGCCTACTAACATCATGAACTGGGTAGGTTATGCATTTTGTATTCTACTTTTATTTATTATTATTTTTTATACCAGTCATAATTATTTTTTTGAGGTGAGTAGGTTCATTTGTATATCTCCACAAGCTGTGACTCTTTGAGCCGGCTATAAGACTAATTTCCTGTACAAGACGAGTCAAGAATTAAGATTTTATGCTCTTCCTTAAAATAGTATTAATGGAGATCGAATCAAGATCTTTTTCCATCTACTCAGCTCCAATGTACCAAGAACCAAGATCTTTTTACACCCACTCTCAACTCCAATGTACCAACTATGCTACCCTCATTGAGTCTATTTTTTATCTTTTAATTTATTGAGTTTGATCTATCAATTAATTTTTTTAGTGGTAATCCATCAATTAATTACATACAATATTATATTCACAATAAAATTTTTTAATCTAAATTATTATGTCAAAAGTTAGGTGTTCATGTTGGTAATTATTTTATATCTCAATTATTAATCTTTATATATCTTAAGGTATTAATTATTTAATTTATAATAAATTATAACCATCAAATACTCAAAAATTAACTGTTAAAATAGAAAATAAGATTTCTAATTTTTATACAGAAGTAAAAATTTTTTTTAGAGAATTAGTTTCATCCTTTTTCCTCTAACTTCTAATGAGAGTAGCTTTGGAGGCTAATTCGAAAGACAAAGCGACCGGGAGAAGAGATTGAATGAAAAATAACTTCAGATTATATGAAAAAAAAAAAAAAAAAAAATTTACTTTAATTTTCTTTTTAAAATTTTATTTGCCATTCTCGAACTAGGTGTGTGGCTTCCCGGTAATTAAGCATGCTCATAGTTCATCATAATAGACCCGGTTGCAGTAATTGGTAAGGTGTGCTGGCTGCAGACGATCCTCCCTCCCTCTCCCTCCTTCTTCTCCACAATCTGTTCTATGAGCGAATCAGAAATCTCAGCTGCAATAACCGAAACTCTTCAACCCCGTAGTTACTGAAATCTCGACCCGAGAAAGATCCGAATGAGGGATCCGAATCTGGAGTTGCAGGAATCGGGTTGGGAGGAACTGCGAAAGGAAGCGCGCAAGATCGAGGGCGATCTCGACGTCAAGCTTTCTTCATACGCCAAGCTTGGCGCCAGGTTCACCCAAGGAGGTTCCGTTGCTATTCCTTCTTCATCACACTGCGTTTTCACAGTTCCTTTTCGATTCAATCATTGAATGTGATTTTAAACTGAACATAGGATCATCGTTTTTCTATTGTATCTGAATTAGAAGCAAATTTTTTTAAAATATTAAGCTAATTTAAATCAGGGCTAAACAAGCACTTGATCTTACAGAAGATAAAAGTGAATTGAAAAATTTTCCTTTTAATCTCTTACTGCTTTTTAATTTCCTATGTGGAAGTGACTATTTCTTACTATCTGCAGTCCTTTATATTTAGTGATTTTTTATTTATTTAGTATACTAGTTTGCGATCAAAGTTATCTTGATGTTGATTTAGGCATTGCGCTGTTACAAGTTAGATGTTTCTTGTACAGATGAAATACTACACCTTATTACTGATGAGTTAATTATGGATAAACAACTGATAACGGAGTAAGAGTTTTTTTTTTTTTTTTTTTTTTTTTTTTTTTATGGAATAAAGCGTTAACCAAAAGATAAATGTTGTTAACTAATAATTAACTGATTGGTAAAGAGGCATAGGAGGGGGTAGTGGTAAGGTTGTTCCTTTGTGACCAGAAAGTCTTGGATATAAGTGTGGATCTAGGTTTTTGGCACCCCTCTATTTCAAGAGGATTGTTACTTACAATGCTTGGACTTGAATTTAAGTGTCGGATCTCGGATGTGAGTGTGGATCTAGGAATAGAGGGCGAGCATTGTAGCAGTGGCAATGTTGTTCTTTTATGACTGAAAAGTCTTGGATGTGAGGGTAGATCTAGGTTTTTGGTACCCCTCTATTTCAAGAGGATTCTTACTGCTTTGCTTGGACTTGGATATAAGTTTCGGATGGGAGTGTGGATCTAGAAATATTAGGCGAGCCTTGGAGCAGTGGTAAGGTTGCTCCTTTGAAACCATAAGGTCACAAGTTCGAGTCTAGGAAATGGTCTCATTGCAAAAATATAAGAGTAAGACTATGTACAATCAACTCTCATCCCTACCCTTACAAAGTCGGGGACTCGGGGAGCCTTTGTGCACGGAGATTTACCCTTAAACAGGTGTAGAAATAACATAGTTGCTATTACAATTGTCTTATGGTAATATGGTTATGATATTTTCTTTTCATGTTGTGCCACAGTCATTTATCACCTCAAAATGTTTATCGTTGATAGAAAGCTAAAGTTTCCAAATTGAACATAAGGGAGAAATTATTTTTGGTTTCCAGATAAAAGTCTTGAAGCACCTTATTATTAACTGCATTTAGTCTGGTAGTGGCAGTTCTCTATGTTTATGAGGATATGCCTTTCGTTATTAGGTTATGTGGATGGTGGCTCACCATCTCTTGGGTCCAGTAGGTCTTGGAAGTCCATGGAAATGGAAATCCAATCCTTGCTTGAGAAACTATTGGACATAAATGATTCAATGAGTAGATGTGCTGCATCTGCTGGACCAGCTACTTCTGTCACTCAAAAGTTGGCTAGGCACAGAGATATTCTTCATGAGTTTACCCAGGTATGTTTATATCACGTTTATATTTTGCATAATGTAGTTTCAAGTTTGTGTAGATTGTAACAGAAGTACACTTATAGTCCGTTTTACATGACTCGCGGTTACTTGTCTATTCTTTGTTTAGTGGATGGATGGACATTGCATTGGATTTGAGATGGCTGAATTTGTAGATTCTAATTGGTGCATTTTGTTATCCTCTTACTTGCAATGCTTGGGCTTGGGTATAAGACTATAAGTGTCAGATGTGAGTGTGGATCTAGGTTTCTTTCACCTGTTATATTCCATTCTAGATTTAAATTGTGATCCTTTTTTTCTTTTGAATAAAAGATGTTTGGATTTGGGGTTTGGGCCAATATATATGCCAAATGATAAAGAAAGAGTTATAAGTGATTGATGAAGTGCCGTCTTTAATACTTTTCCTATTCTCACTTCATTGGTTGGGGGTGTGTGACCCACTGAAGCTGTTACTTCTTGAATATTCTCTCTCAGTGAAATGATGCTTGCTACTAGTATTCATTGCTCTGAGTCTTAATCTGAAAGTGTCAAGTACCAAATTCTTGTTAGCACACATTATGCATGTCATGCCCGTAACTTAAGGTAAACTGCTGAATCAGATGGCTGGTGATTCTTATAACCTGTCACTGCATATAATTTATGCTATTCTGAACAAAATGAAACAAATGGAAATGGAGAGAACTACAGAAGTCTTTGTCTTCTCCTGAGAAGGTATAAATGAATAGGTTGAATTTGGTTTAGTTTCTTTCACATGATTTGACTGCCAATAATGAAGAATAAGAATCTGAGTAGACTGCAATTACTTTCTCATCTCTAAGCAAATTGTGATGAATAAGGATAAAATCAAATAGTAAATTACATATCGATCTGGCATGAGCTCTTATGAATGTTGTCAATAGAAGAACTATATGAGGGATACAATCATAAGATATCCAGCTACAGTAAAAAATGGATAAAATGATCTTCAGATGTTCTTGTATTCCATTCCATCCTAACACAAGAGGCTACTGTGGACAGGACAGGTTTAAGGTTTTGGTCCACCTTTCTTGTTCTAGTTGAGACCCTTTATCTTCTTTTTTGAGCTTTAAAAAGTGTCCTAGTGTGGAAACACCTAGAAAATTAACAGAATATTTCTGTAATAAATTTAAACAATACTCTACATGCGTTTAAACTTGCATTTTCTAATGGTAATCCTGTAATTGTGTATGCACATATGCAGATCTAATTGTAATCACACATATGCAGATCTACCATTCATGATTTATTTATCTTGCCACTTTGACACGATATATTATTCTTGGTTCTTTGTGGCCAAGTCCTACCTACTGTGATGCTAATTTTTAATTATGTTGACAAAGCTTATGTAGGAGCTAGCAAGCTTTATAAAAACATTACTGTAATGAATTGGATATTGCTACGCTAAAAATTTCTCTTACTCTAGTAAGTTGACTTTAAATATATTTACATTGTTGATTGTCATTCTCTTCAGGAATTTAGACGTATCAAGGGTAATATAAACTCAATGAAGGAACATGCAGAGCTTTTGAGTTCCGTCAGGGATGATATTACTGACTTTAAGGTGAATCATGAGTATGACCTGAGTTAAATTACATAGATATTTTCTATAGCTCTACTAAACTTACCTTCTTCTGGCAGACATCGGGTAGTATGTCACCAAGAAATCAGTTACTACGTGAGAGAGCTGCCATCCATGGAAGTATATCTCATGTAAGTATTTATTCTATGAAGTATAGTATTTATTCAATTGTTGATGTGATGACTGCTAAATAAACATCGATCCCTTTAAAGTTGCATCAAGGGGACAAACCATGCTCTTTCCTCATGTCTAGCTCAGGGACCCTCTATTGTTTTCCTTAACAGAAAATTTGAATTAATGTTATACAGCTAGCTGAAGCTTTGTAGCTAAGATTTGTCATATGGTGTCATTTTTTTTTTTTGTATTTTTTTTTTTTTGGCTACATATAATATGGTGTCTTTTAAATTATATCTAAGGTTGAAACCAAAATCAGAGGCTTCCCAATGCAGAAACTCTAAGTGGAGATAGTATTGAGATCTTCAGTATTCCAGTAGTACACAAAGTATATTTCCTTTTCTGTTTCAATTACCATCTTCCATATCTTAAATTCTTTTTATTGAAGTTCCATGCAGAACCCGCAGGCCACTCCGTGGCATATTCTGTTGCATCTGTGCACACTTGTTCCAGCACGGTGCCATTGATGTTCAGTCGATATAATTAATTCTTAAAGCATATTGTTGGTTTTATGATTTGAAACTTTCAAAATTTGCAGTACTGCATTTATTCTTTCTTTTTCCTTTTAAAAGAACTTTAAAACCCATTTGCTTTATATGTCAATGGCTATGTTCTTTTTAAGATTTCTCCACTTAATGCTTCCATAAATTCATAATAATGGGTCTTGTAGAAACTCTCTTCGTTTCGGCTCTTACTGAACATGACTCTATTATCCTGGTTTTTGAGGATTCTTGATTCACTTTCCCTGCATTTTCCCAGATTGATGATGTGATTAGTCAAGCTCAAGCAACAAGATCTGTCTTGGGTTCTCAGAGAGCATTGTTTGGTGATGTTCAAGGAAAAGTGAAGCTTCTTGGCGACAAGTTCCCCATTATTCGTAGCGTGCTTGGTATGTTGTAAAGTAGTTTTTATCTTTCTAACTTACCATTGATTTTCAGATTCACCTTTTACTTTCTTTTGTTGACCTAATACGTTGCTCTCGTAGGTTCGATAAGAAGGCGACGCTCAAGGGATACCCTTATTCTGTCAGCAGTAATTGCTGCTTGTACGTTGTTTCTCATCATTTACTGGCTCTCAAAGTAACCAAAATATTTTATAACAAAAAAATTATAAATTATGGTACTTTTCTCCATTGAATTTTTCTGCTTCTTTCTTTGCCTTTTTGTTTTTTGGGTGGGGGAAGATTATGCTTTTTTCAATGCACATTGCTCTAGGAGCCTCATATTGTATGTCAGTTGTTGGCAAAAAAAAATTATGACTCTTAACGAATTTTGATATAAATCGATCTCAAATAGTAAATTCCACATTGGTTCTCTTTCCTTTTTATCAAGTAGATGCTAGTTTTCTGATTTTTATATATTTATTATTATTATTTATTTATTTTTGGTGTGTTGGGGGCGTGGGGGATATACTAAGGAGCTTATGAAACGAAAGTGCCATGGCAAGTGGTATTATGTAAACTTCATTCCTAAAACAAACTGAAGTTCATGGCTGGGATTGAGAAACCTCCTGGGGTTTGGCTGTTTTGCGTGTCTGAAACAAACAATACGCATTCCTTAGTGCTGCATCCTCAAAAAGTTGCTTGAGAAAAAAGTTTGTATGAATAGAAATGACAGATTTGAAAAGTGAACATTCTCCATTTTTATTTGTGTTCGAAAACCTATTTATAATATATTGAAGTATACGATGTATGAAAAACTAGGGGTTCATTTTGATTTTAATATATAGTTTTTATCCTTCGATAGCATGGAGGCCGGTCGTTGGGTTATGTCAATTACTAGACAAAACCCAAATGGGATGAGTTCACATCTGTGAGAGAGGAGAAAGAAGTTTGGACAATATGTCCTCACCAACAATGAAATCATTGAACTTGGACTAAAAAGCCCAACTTAGAGTTATAGCAATGAGAGAATGAAAGTTGACATAGCTGGGGGTTGGGATCCGGACACGACAATTTTTTTCCATATCAATTTGCAGTGTGGTAAGCATTTTTTGGATGTTATACAGCGCAAGATTTGCTATTAAGAAGTCTGTGTGTACATGTGAAATCACCACCACTACTTGCTTCTTGTCTCTATATGTTCATAATATGAGCTTGCCGTGCATGCAAGTGCTGGCAATTTTTCTTTCCCTACTGCTGCGTGGTCCCTTATGTCTTGATGTTGTTGTGGTCCTTGTTCAACATTCCAATCGGGCTTAGGCCAGTAATGTGTCTTTTAATAGATTATATGGACCTCTTCAAGCATGTGCAATCTCATCTTGTTTCCTTAAAAGTCTTAAGCATATACTTAATCAGTACATCCTGTGGGGGCCTCCTAGTTTATGTGAACTTCAATGTTGACAACAACATGGTTCACTTGATTTATATGTATCTCTCACAACATGGATTGAAATCATAATGAGGCCTAAACATTTAATTTCATGTGTTCCACGCACTTATGAACATATGGTAATTAGGCAGTAAGAATTGCTCTTTTAAAGAGTTGCATTGTGTTTGGAATATATAAAACTTAAAAACCTCATCAAGAGGCTGACTTCATACTATTTATGGAGAGTCACAACACGTGGTTATGCAGTTTAGAAGTACGAAAGAGGAGGACTTTGGTATCATCATATGTCTAGCAGCCAAAAAACCTTAGAGGAAGATTAGCTATCTCTAATCTATTGTAGCTAACAGCTAACAGTAGTAGACTTTTTAGGTAGATTTGTATGGTAATGGTAGCTGAGGACCAACTACGCATGCACCTTCTTGTGTAACAGTGAGGCTGTACAAAGCACCAGGCGTACATAAATGTCAAAACAGTGATTGCTCCATAAATGTCATCTTTATTGGATTTCTACCTACAGGTGTGAAAGAGAGATTCAGAAAGTTTGTATATGTGTCCGGAATCAATTTTTTTACAATAATTTTTTAAATAAGAGAATGATCAACTTGTGTAAATATTATTCTTTTTATTAATTGTTAGTCTCACTTGTATTTAACTATTTTAATTTGTTAATCATATAAATTACTAAATGTAAATGAAATTAATGGTTAAAATTAGGTGTAGGACTTATTCCCTCCTTTCAAATAATCAAGGTTATGCGTACATATTAATATATATAATAATTATAAATAGGACCTTATTTAAGAAACTTTTTCAAAAATTTGAAATTTTATTTACAATTGTTATATTTATCTTTCCTTTTATTTAAATGAAACAAAATAAGCAACTTAACCAGTATTCCGGAGTCACGCTCTTAGAAAGCCAATAGTACAAGTACATGTTTTATTTTTTATTTATTTATTTATTTTGGGTAACTAAGAACATGTTTTATTTGAATGCCAAAAAATGTACACATTTATTTTGTTTCTCACTCTTGGACACTAGAACGTTTTATTTGCTAAATTCAATTAAATAATTGTCAAAATTTAAAACTACATAAAAATATTTGCTTCAACCACATATTAAAGGATTTAGTGTTTATCTTGCCATAATAAATAAAATTATTTTCTACAACTCAAAAATGATGTTATTTTGGATTTTGAGGGAAAATGTAGGGTATTTTAAAAAAATTCATGTTGTAAGAGAGAAATATAATTCTTAAAATACCCTATATTTTTTTTTTAAAATTCCAAAATGATGGTAGGAAATAACTTTATATTGTGGGATAAGAAGGAACACTTTTTCCAATATTAAATGTTTAAGTGGAAAAATGGATAAAATTAAAATTACTTAAAATCATTAATTTAAAATGTCCAAGTATTAAATCATTATTTTAAATATTATTCAACTAAAAACAAGATATTGATTCCTAAATTAATAAGAGTTAAGCTTGATTTAGCCTTAAACAAATTGGGTAGCACCGTAGCAGAAATGGTGGCAACCTGATCAAAAAGCTGGTAGGTTAGACAATAACTACAAGATTTATAAATTTTTATTTTTCAAAAAAAGGAAACAGGTTACCTTGTAAGTTGTAAGTTGTAACCCTACCGGCCAACCCAGCTTTGGCATATTCTGAGTTTCTGACTGCTTCAAATGGTCCATTAGTACAACCAGTGTAACTAGTGAGTAATAGTTCTAAATGTCTCAAATGATTTGCCGCATAGTCCAAAAGATTTGGTGTATTATTACAATATCGTCAACCATCAATATATATATATACATATGAAAGAGAAAGATATATAGTTAACAAAAAGTAAAAAATGAAATAAAATTTGCTTAATCTATATGTTTGAGATTATATATCATTTGTATATATTAATGCACTACTTGTATATTTTTTTTTTCACACGCTTAATTATTGAAAACAGAGATAATTAGGCTTGGCAAAAATGAGCCAATCCATCGGGTTGGCTCGTAACCCGGCTAAAATGAGTAGGGTTGGGTTAGGGAAAATGAGTTAGTAACTCGAGTCAGCCCGACTCGTTTCAATTCGAAAAAAACCGAGCCAATCCACGGGTCAAATGGGTTGGCTCGCGGGTTATGTTTTTTTTTTTTAATATAAAAGAATAAAAATTAATGAAGGTAAAATGGAAAGCTAAAATCTAAAATTTCAATTCCAAAGACCCAAACGAAAATACCCTGTAGCGAGAGCCAACCCCACCTGACTTCCATCTTTGCTCACCGTCACCGACAACCCAAATGTTGTCGATTACTTGCAAGTAGCATACAGAAATTTAGTTAAAGCTACTGACCTATGTTTTAGATTCGTATTACATCTGTTTTATTAATGACATGTGTATAATTTTTTTCCAGATTGAGCCACCTGTAGAGTTGTGTGCAAATGTTAATGCAAGAGTTGAATACTTGAATTGGTGGCTGTAGATTTTAAGAGATTTTCTTTGCTACAGAGAAGGTTTTGTTTGGTGGAGTGGATTATTTCTCGAACTAGAAGGCAGAAGCTACGGCTAGATTTGTATGTGGCTGTCTTTACTCTTTTGCGTCTTGCATTTAGTTCCATCTTCTTTCAATAGAGGATGAGATATATGTTTAATAACTATCGTGATGCAATGACTTTTTGTAAGAGGTTTGTTTATCCAAATTTGGTCGTAACTCGAATGTTCAATCCAAAATGGCTAGAAATAAAATCAGCTTTGTAAATGAGAATTTTATGTTTTTTCCATTTTTTCGAGCCAACCCTAACCCGGCTCGGGTCGGGTTGGGTTAACTTTTCTGCCTCGTTTATTTTTCGAGCCAATCATAACCCGACTCATTTTTTTCGGGTTGAACGCGGGTTGGATCGGGTAGAGCCGGGTTGACCTGTTTTGCCAACCTTAGAGATAATCATTTTCATTTGTCAATTTATAATTCTAATCTAAAAGAACTACGTGTGTTTAAAGAATTTAAAGAAAAAGGACTGAACATGCTTGAGTAACTTAGTTTGTTGTTTCCTTCTTTTCAGCCCTCAACAGAATCGGCGCTACGATAATTTTTCTAAAATAAAAAATGAAGGTTGAACCTATGATGTCTGTCCAAAATATTAATAGGGAAAGAATTGAACCTAGCGTTGGACAACGGCCTCCGGGAGTCCAAATTAAGAGAAAGTATTATTGACGCATTAAATGAGCTTAAGTAATAAATTTATACTAAGGGGTGAGATATCACATCTTAACCTAAAATCTGAATATATTGAATTTATGGATCAATACACATATATATACCATGTTTAACCTATGTTTTTTCAATACAAGACTCTTTATCACTTATGTTCGAATTGTCAACACCTAGCTAGTGATATAAAGGCATTTCTTATTCCAAAGCGATCAATGGCGGACGCAAACAGTTTTCATTCTCTGCACTTGCAGACACAAAAAATTTTAAAGGGTAGATAATTTAGGTCAAGTAAAAAAAAAATTTAGGAAGATTTAAAAGAAAAAAAGTAAACATAAGTCTAATTATGGTAGTTAAAATCGGAATCTACCTAAAATCGAAAAGATAGAGGATAAAAAATCGTAAAACGTAAAATCTTAATGTAAAAAAAAAAAATCGTAAAATCGTAAAAGTATTTGAAATTTTGATGAAATCGGATAAGTGATGATTGGTTTAACGCATGCATGCTAACTTATGTTGAACGTGCTATATTTGATAAGATTGATGATGAAGATATAATACAATATTTTCAAGGAATGAAGAATCGAAGAATGCTTTTGTGATCGTTCTGTTGTAACAGCTTAGTTGACTCTTGATTATTATTATTTTTATGTTAAGTTACAATTTCCTTTCCTTTTCTTGTTTATATATTTTTTTAATACATTTAAAATTTTCTTTAAAAAAAATCTTCTGGGGCGCTGCTCCCTAACCCCCATCCTAAATGTA